TCCTATGTAGAAACATAAACAGTTTAACTTTAATACATCCTTTATGATTTCTTTTTCTTGTTTATCTTTTTATGCTTCTCTTGAGTCTTGTATTTGAAAGTCAATTTTTCTATTTAGCACTAAATTCCTCTACATTGGTGAATGTCAATTTTTCCCCATTCATTGATTACATTCAGTTTTGCTGGATAGGTGATTCTTGGTTTTAATCTGAGCTCCTTTGACCTCTGGAATATCATATTCCAAGCCCTGCGGTCCCTTGACATAAAAGCTGCCATATTTTGTGTTACCCTGATTGGGTTTCCACAACACTTGAATTGTTTCTTTCTGGTTGCTTGAAATATTTTCTCCTTGACTTGGGAACTCTGAAATTTGGCTATGGGAGTTTTCATTTTGTGATCTCTTTCAGGATGTGACTGGCGGATTCTTTCAATTTCTATTTTACCCTCTGGTTCTAGAATATCAGGGCAGTTTTCTTTGATAATTTCTTGAAAGATGATATCTAGGCTCTTTTTCTGACCATGGCTTTCAGGTAGTCCAATAATTCTTAAAATTATCTCTCCTGGATCTATTTTCCCAGGTCAGTTGTTTTTCCAATGAGATTTCACATTTTCTATTTCTTCATTCTTCTGGTTTTGTTTTATTATTTCTTGATTTCTTATAAAGTCACTAGCTTCCATTTGCTCCATTCTAATTTTTAAGGACTTAACTTTCTTCAGTGAGCTTTTGGACTTCCTTTTTCATTTGGCCAATTTTGCTTCTTAAGGCATTCTCCTCACTGGCTTTTTGGACCTCTTTTGCCATTTGGCCTAGTCTGTTTTTTAAGGTGTTATTTTCTTCAGTATTTTTTTGTGTCCCCTTTACCAAGCTGTTGACTTGTTTTTCATGATTTTCTTCCAGCATTCTCATTTCTCTTCCCAATTTTTCCTCTACTTCTCTTACTTGATTTTCAAAATCCTTTTTGAGCGCTTCCATAGCCTGAGACCAATTTTTATTTGTCTTGGAGGCTTTGGATGTAGGAGCTTTGATGCTGTCTTCTACGGGTGTGTTTTGATCTTCCTTGTCACCACAGTAACTTTCTATAGTCAGTTTGTTTTTGGCTTTTTTTTTCCCATTGTTTGCTCATTTTTCCAGTCTTATCTTTTAGTTCTTTAACTTAGGGCTCTGCTTCCAGGGTGGAAGGAAAACTGTCCCAAGTTTCAGGGGTTTTGTGCAGCTGTTTTCAGAGTTACTTCTAGGTACCTATAAGTTTTCAGTTCTTCCAAGGTGTTATGATCTAAGGAGAGGTATTTACTACTCTTCTGGCCTATGCTCTGGTCTGTGAACAACCACAAGCATTCTTTGATGTCCTGGAACCGTGAGGAAGGTCTCCACTCCACTGTGACCACAACTCTGCTGTGCTAGTGCTTTCCTCACCCTGGGACTACTACCCAGGACTGCAACCCAGATCCAAGTATGAGCAAATCAATAAAGTCCTGCCCCAGTGCTAACAAAAAGACCTTCATAATCTCCTTCTGACCAGTTGCTCAATCCCCTTACCATGGATTGAGAGCTCCAGAAACAGCCACTGCAGATTCAGTGGTTCCCAAGGCCTACTCTTGGTTTGCTGTGGCCGGGGCTGTGCTGATGTGGCCTGTGCTGGAATGAGCTCCACTCTCACCCAGGTGTGACAGACCTTTCCCACTGACCTTCCAAGTTGTCTTGGACTGGAAATTTGTTTCACTGTCTTTTTGTGGGTTCTGCTGCTGTAGAATTTGTTTAGAGTCATTTTTCAAAGGTACTTGGAGAGGTTTGGGGGAGAGCTCATGTGAGTCCTTGCCTTTACTCTGCCATCTTGGCTCCACCCCAAGTTCTTTTCTTTAATAAGGTTTTATACCTCTTTTTCCAAGTTGTTAATTTTCTCTTTTCATATCTTTCTTCTGTAGCGCTCATTTGGCTTTTGAAATATTTTTTTTTCCTTTGAGACTTGCTTGTAGATGTTTTCACATCATTCTTTGTCACCATAGCAGCTCTTTATGGTGGGATTCTTTTTTTTTTAAATTTGCTCATTCTTCCAGCCTACTTCTTGACTTTGGACTTTGTTAGTGAGCATAAAGGGAGAAAATGACCTGTACTTCTGTCCTTTGACATCCTTTTGCTGCTTCTACAGCAGCATGATCCAGGGAGAGATCTATTCACTACTCTTTATCTGATTTCCACAAGTTTCTGACCCAGGTTTGAGTCTGGAGACTTTAATGTGGCTGAGAATTTCAATGTACTACAGCTAGACTTTGTCATGATTAGCCAACTGGGAGGTTACACAGGTTCACAGAAACTTGAACTCTGGGCTCCCCTTTGGTTTGGAGCTTATACACTGGACTAAAAGCTAGAACTAAGTCATTGCTGCTTGGCAAAGTGTGCCTTCCTGGCCAGCCCCTAACCCAGGGCTGGGGAACTTGTGGCCTAAAGGCTGCAGGTTCCCCACCCCTACTAAACTCAGTATTTACAGACCTGTCTCCCTAAGCTGCCCTAGGCTTGAAAAATGACTCAATGTGAATTTTCTTGGCTTTCCCAATCAGAATTCAAGTTGGTGCATTTTCTAGGTCATTGTGGAATAGGTGTGCTAGGTGAGCTAGATAAAAATGCTCCCTCTACTTCCATCATCTTGACCCTGACATTATTTACATCTAATCTCCAAACCCTTGCCCCTCCCAAAATTCTTTCAAAAAATTCATCCTAAGTTTTGGAATCCTTATTAGGGAAAAGAAAAAAGTAAATTACAGGATCATAGGACTGGAAGGGACACTAAAAATCATCTATTTTGTCTAACTCAGACAGAAGGAGACAAAGGGGGCAAAGTAGGAATTTGAACCAAAGTCCTCTAACCTCAAATCCAGTGCACTTTTCCTACACTAATGTACGAAATTAAACATAGTTTACATGATATTCTCTTATAAGGGAGAAAAGTACAAAACTAAATAATTTACTTGAGTCCCCCCTGGTATGACAGTTTTGAACTGAGACATAATAAACCAGACATCACATCTTAATATAAGGATCTTCAAAATAAAAGATTCTACCACATCTAAATAGCCTATTCTACTAATTAACAATCCTTAATACCAAGAGATTGTTCTTCCATATCTTTAGTCAATCTCCTCTTATTCCGTCCTCAGTAGAAAATTAAAACACCAAATCATTATGGGGCTCTCTATAGGACGTAATATGAATGATAAGAATAGGTAGATGCCAGTAAAAATGTTCGCAGCTAATAAATACTTTTGAAAGAGCTGCTTTGACTACTGATGAAGTTGTAAACTGATCCAAGCACTATGGAGGGCAATTTGGAGGGAAATATGCCCAAAAGGCTACAAAACTGTACATACCCTTCAACCCAACAATACCATTACTAGGTCTGTATCCCAAAGAGATCAAAGGAAAATGATCTACATGTACAAAAATATTTATAGCAGCTCTTTTTGTGGTGGCAAAGAATTGAAAATTGAGGGGATGTCCATCATTTGGGATATGGCTGAACAAACTGTGGTATATGACTGTGATGGAATACTACTGTGCTATAAGAAATAACAAGCAGGATAGTTTTGGAAAACCTAGGAAGAAATAAACTTACTGATGCAAAATGAAGTGATCAGAACCAGAAGAACATTATACAATGATCAAATGGAGCAGCCAGAAAGCTCAGTAGAGAGCTACCTCTGAAGCGGGGGGGGGGGGGGGGGGGAAGACCTGAGTTCAAATCTGGCCTCACACAAATACTAGCTGTTTGACCTTAGACACATAGTCTCTGTTTGCTTTAATCCACAGAGAGGAGAAGGAAATGGCAAACCACTACCGTACCTTTGCTAAGAAAACCACGTGGAAAGTATTGGCTTGCTATGGTCCATAGGATCATGAACACAACTAAATAACACCAATGATCAAAGACAATTCCAAGGGACTTATGATGAAAAATGCTATCCACCTTCAGAGAAAGAACTGATGAAGTCTGAAGGCAGATTGAAGCATAATTTTTTCACTTTTTTTTTTTTTTTTGCAACATGACTAGTATGGAAATGTTTTGCATGACTTCACATATGTATAATTGATATCACATTTCTTGCCTTCACAACGAGTGGGGAAGGGATGAGAAGGAAAAATAGAATTAGAAACTCAAAAAAATTTCTTAAACCAAATGTTAAAAGTAAATAAATTTTAAAATAAAAAAAAAAAGTTGCTTTAAAATCACTCCCTTAACTTCCACTTTCCTAACAGAATATACAATTTTCTCCAACAAAAAACAGCTACATTTGTGCTAGCTTATTTGCCGGATCAGTGAATCAATACCAACAGCAGAAGATTAGAAACTGTTACCTGGTAGCAGCCACATTGCACACTACAATTAAAATCCATATATCCAGAAAATACCTCCAACATTTAGAACTCAGGAGTCTCCCCACCCTCCAACCACAAAGCCTTTAAGTCAGAGCCTACTGAATACTGTGGATAAAATTAAGACACTCTTGGCTATCTGGTTTCCCTGGCAGAAGTCAGTTAAGATTAGAAGGGGCCCTTGTTGGAAAGCAATTAAGGACCACAATAGCAAAAAGAAACCATGTACTTCAACAGTCCCTAAGTGTATCACTGTTACAATGAGTATAACTAGTTCTTAATGATGACCAAGTCAACCAGAAAAGTTATTTAATACATTTTAGAAAATTTTTCAACCCCTCCAAAACAGTGAAATTTCTAAAAATATTCCAGGACTTTAAAGGTAAATAAGCTTCAGTTATGGAAATTTCACTCATCGAAAGTGTGCTAGATATCAACACATCTATTTTCTTCCTAAAAGCAAAGCAGAAACAGTCTGAGATATCTGCAACCCTTCCAGGCAAAAATGAAATGCAATCACACTGGATTCAAATTCACATGCCCATTTAAGAATAGAATCTATAGATCTTTCATTCAGGCTGGGAAAATACTAAATTTAACACTCTCATTACAAGTAGTTAAATATCAGATCTTACCACATGGTAGAGACCAAGACAGAGCCATAATGAGATCACCCAAGTAGTTAGGATGTCGAACAAAACCCCACCAACCAGACACTAGAAGATTCTTTCCACTTGAAGTATGAATAATTTTCAGATCTGTGTGTAAAGAAATACACATTTCATATAATCAAGTATATAAGCACATGTAATTTTAGTACATAAAAATAATTTTTTACATAATCAATACTTACGTGCCAAATTAGGATCATCGGGATTTTTCCGAAATGCATTTTTCTGAGAGTTTGCACAACGAAATACTGTATATCCTGAAACTAAAATTAAAAAAAATTCTCATTTAATAAATTTTTAACAAACTCAAATAGCTTTCAAAATTCAAATTCAAAGTTCAAAAAAATTTACTATTGCCATATTCCCTTAGTTATGTCAATACTTAAACCCTTGGGATCAAAGAAGGACAAGGACTGTAATGAAATTCCATTCTACAATTAAGATTATGGTATCCAAATTCCAATACATAGCCTCAATCATTTGATCAAGTTTTCAGTATGACCAAAATATGTTTTTCCCCCCACTTCTAAGGATCAGTTAGTTTTAAAGCTATTATGTCATGAATTTATTAATGCTGATTCAACATTCAGGCTTGAATAAATCCATAATAAAAGGTCATTTTAAGCTAGCTGTTCTTACATTACTAATATTCAATATATTTTTAAGCAGTAGAAATAATTTCCCTCTCCTATTTTTGGTAAAATTATGCAGGGTTGACAAAAGTAAGTGAAACCCACTAATGAGCCAGACTAACTCAATATGACATTTATTAAATGCTTGCTATTCTGAACAAGAGGGAGTACAATAGTAACATACTGTCCCTACCCTCAAGATAAAAACAATCTAATTGGAGAAGAGGCATCAAACAATGCAACAGAATGTAAATAAAAACAAAGTATCAAATTTTAATTTTAATTCATCTCATACATAACAGGATAATGGGATAATAAAAACTAGTATTTATGTAGTGTACACATGTAGTGTTGTAAACTGTAAAACATCATTGTTAGTCTGCCTGAATAATCAACCTGTAGATAATCTAGGGCTGGACATTTCCCTATAGTCCCTAAATGCACATATACTTTACAACCATCTTACTCACACTGTGCCCTTTGCCTGAAAAGATGACAATATTATAATTATTAGCAACTGGTACTTTTAAATAGTACTTTTAGGTTTGCAAAGAACTTCTATATATTATCTCATTAGAGTCTCACAAGGTAGGTATTATTTATTAACCCCATTTTTAGGTGAGGAAACTGAAGATTAGAGGTGTGGCAAATGTATAGGGTTGGAACTTTGGACTTAGAATCAGTTAAGACGGGGGTTCATATTATACCTTCAGCACTTATTAACTATGTGATCATGGGCAAATAATTTATCCTGAGTGTTTCCTCATCTGTAAAATAAAGACTAACAGGAACAAATTGTTAATCCCTGCCTTCGGGATTGTAAGGCTCAAATAATGCATTTGTAAAGTGCTTTGAAAGCTTTGGAACCAAGATATGAACACTGGTCTTCCTAATTCCAAGTTCAGCTCTCTAACTGCTATGCCAGGCTATCTCTCTACTGAGTATCTCTTTAGCCCCAATCCTAACTAATGAATTCCATATTTCAAGGTCCAATATAAATGCTAACTTTCTATAAATCTTCTCTGATTGTCCCTCTCCCCCTCGACACCGAGTGATCTCTTCTTCCTTTGACTTACAGCATTTTTAACATACAACCCTGCACTTGTATTAAAGGCATTTATGCACATGTCTTAACTTCCTTACTAGATTATAAACCTGAGGGCAGAGAGCTTGAATCTCCTACAGTCTGCATATAGCAGGTGTTTTAAAAAAAAAAAGTACTTGCTACTGAATGCTGAACTGTTATTAATATACTTCTCAAAAGCACTTGCGGAAAAGCTGCTAATGGTCCAAATATGAAATACCTACCTTCCCTGAAGGCAAGTGTCATTTCTGCCTTGAACTAATGGGAATTTTCAATAATTGACAAATGAACAGACAAATATGGCATAATAAATTCTATACATAATAATTAACACTGAACAAGTAAAATTATGACTTACATTTTAAAGCAATAATAACGGATGCAAAAAGCCAAGAAACTTCATTAGGATGACTGACTAAATAAAAGGCTTGTAGGCTATAGACAAATGGCACCCACACCAAATCTCCAAATGCTAACATGAACCCAAATCCATCATGTATAATGTCCATAGTTGTCAACAAAGCCTCCTAAAAATACAGTAGGGAAAAAAGACATAATGAAACAAAAATTCACCCTTGAAAAGGACTGACAATTAAGCTCTAATAAAATTAATATGATGACAGTGTTCAGGTGAATTATATCAACTTATGAGTAAACATTAAATTCTGTCAGTTGAGGAGTCATATTTAACTCGATTTTAAAAATTACAGTGACTTGTCATATGACTTCAATTACCTGAAATGAGCAAGAATCAAGAAAGAGGCAAAAAAGATGTCACGAAGTCCTTACGCTAAAGCTGTGAACTTAAACTGAGAGCCCCACAAATCATTATTCAGAGCCTATAATCCTCTTTTATAAATAATTTTTAACAATCTTTTAATCCTGTCTCCCTCCCCACCCAGAGATTCAAGTCAGGACCTTTGTTTTATACATGTCTTCTCACGTATCGATATGATCATCAGGAAATAAGCATTTGTTAAGCACCTATTATGTGCCAGAAACTGTGCTGAGTGCATTATAAATATCATCTCATTTTATTCTCACAACAATTCTGAGAGGTAGTTACTATTATTATCATCCCCATTTTACAGATGAGGAACTCAAGGCAAATATTGTTGAGTGATTTGCCCAGGGTCACACAGTAGTGAGTTATCTGACAGCAAATTTGAACTCAGAATCCTCCTGACTCCAGGCCAGTGTTCCATTGCACCAACTAGCTTCTTCACTCAAAGAGATGACAGTTCACAGCCTAACAGCTAAGGAGGAAACAGAAAAAGCAGAAACAAGAACACAGGAAATATACAGCTCCTACAGTATATTAGCTCTTAGTACAGGAGCTAATAGTCCTACCTACACATTACCCAGAATCATGGAATTGAAGAGTCCTCAGCAGCCTCAGCTGCTGACACAGTGAATAAAGTATTGGGCTTGGAGTCTGGAAGACCCAAGTTTAAGTGCCGTCTCAGGCACTTATTGGCTGTGTGACCCTGGGCAAGTCACTTAATTTCTATCTGCCTCGGTTTCCTCAACTATAAAACAGGGATGATAACAGCACCCACCTCTTTGTTGTGAGAATCAAATGACATATTTGTAAAGTGCTTAGCACAGTGCCTGGCACATAGCAGGCACACTTAATAAATGTTTATTCTATTCCCTTCCTTCCATTTAGTTCAAACCTAAAGAAGTATAAAGAACGTTGTCTCTGGAGTCAATGGACCTGGATGGAAATCCTAACTCTGAAACTAAATGACCTTGCATAATCCATCACTTTCCTGGGCCTCAGGTATATTCATCTCTAAAATGTGGGGGATGGAATAGATAACAGCTAAGGTCCATTCCAGTTCTTGACTCATGATCCTATGAACTTTATTCAAAAAAAAAAAAAGAACAGGTAAAGGGGAGAGAAAGGAAATGTACTATATGTCAAGAAGATATATTGGGGCAGGCAGCTAGGTGGCGCAGTGGATAGAGCACCGGCCCTGAAGTCAGGAGGACCTGAATTCAAATCTGACCTCAGACTAAACACTTGACACTTAACTAGCTCTGTGACCCTGGGCAAGTCACTTGACCCCAAATGCCTAAAAACAAAAACAAAAAACAAGAAACAAACCAAAAAAAGAAGATATATTCATTTGAGAAATTTAGGAAACCAAAAGGAGAAACATGGTGGAAAGCATCTAGATGAGAATCAACAGAGAGAGAAGTGGAAGCATTATGTGGTGGCAGCATACAAAAAAATACCTGGAAGTTCTAAGGAAGACCTAGACCAGCATGCTCTCAGGGAAAGATCTCAAATGTGGTTTGAAGGTATGTTAATGTAGCGATGGAGAATTTCAACTACTTGGATCTAAGAAGGGTAAGGGAAACAGTGCCCCAACACCAGCTCAAAGGTAGAGAAACTAGGGCCTTTCAAACAGAATCTGTCTCCTTCTTTATCCCCATTTCAGAGTCTTATAAATAATAGTAGAAAAACTAACGGGCATTATTGCCTATGAGTTTTCACTATTGCATTGGCTGTCTCAACGTCAAAGCAGTCTGGGACTTTTTTTTTTAACAAAATAAAAGGCCCATAAATTCATCATTAACCAGAATAATCACAAGTGCTAGATAACCCTTCTAGTTAGGTTATTTCACATTATTGGTCACATTATTCCTTTCATATAAAATACCTTCCTGTATCTTCCCCCTGCATCCATAAAGCCTCTCCTAACTCAAGATCTCACTAATATCTCTCTCCTCTGAACTTCAAAAGTATTTTATGAAGCTTTTCAATTACATTCCAAATTATGTTATATATCATACTGTTAACTGCTATTTTGTATGCTAGTCTCCAAGATAAAAATTAACTAATTTTTACTATCATAACGCACTGTCCCTTCCACACAGCTTGACCAACTTTTCCTGCATCAATTATGACTATCTGTATCCTCTTTCAAGATGCCCTTACGTCATCATTCCCTATTTCTAGCTCTCTATTCCCTGCACTCCACCTTGGACAATGTTAGGAAGAACTAGATATAAGAAGAAAAGTGGTTTTCAAAACCCCTAAAATTTAATTCTTAGGCTTTTGTTCTTGTTTTATCTGCTTCTAGGCTTGTCTCAGCTATTGAAGAATTAAAACATTCCTTATTTAAAGAGAAGCTCATGTAAGAATTTTCCTACGGTTCCTTGGAAAACTACTCACTCCCTGCACACATTCATCCACAAATCAACTGTAGCAATTAGTGAACATCAACAATACACACCTAACATGAAAATTCCTAAGAAACCCAAGCATTATTATGATACTGTTTCCAAAGAGACGCGAAGGATGGAATGAAATCAGCTCACTGTGAAGAGCAGGACAAAGAGTGATGCTATATGCCACTTTCTTACCAGCATGCCACGCTATTTCATTCTGGTTAACTTACTCTGCCCTACCAAACTGTAAATTACTTGAAGGCAAAAACCATGTCTGATATTTCTTCTGTATCTCCCAAAAGCACTATAACAAAACAGGGAATCTAAGTGAAATTTCAGAATATAAATGATGAGAGAGTAAAATAAAATATATGGCTGTGTAGAGTCAGAAACTGCATAGAAATGTATACAAGCAGACCATCTAGGTTGGAAAGGCTTCCTGGCAACTAGAAGACTGATGCTGACAGCAAATGGATTAATGAATGAACCCAGAACAGTAACAGTAGGTTGGGAGAGCAAGAGTAAACATCAGAGAAGCCCACATCAACAGACCTTAAAAATATACCACAGATAATATTAGTTATATTCAGAAACATTAACATATTCTTAAACTCTCTCATATTGGGAATAATTACCTCATTCCAAAGTGCATCCACCACATATAAAAGCTGGAAACTATTAACCAATATCATTGCTAAAGATGGGGTTTCACGCTGTTGGACTTTCATCTCTGCCAAAAGCATTATTAAATTAATAACAACCTAAAAAAAGAAATATAAAAAAAAGTATAAATGAATCCAGATAAAGGGGTAAAAAAGTTCTACTCTCACTTAAAGGATCTGAAACTTGGTATGATTCCTCCACACACCATGCAGATCACGACTCCTCTGACTTGGTAGATAGTCGTTGCAAATTGCTGTTCCCACATCACCCTGTGACCAACACAATGGTGGACTTTCCCAAATTTTAATAGGTTGGTCTTCAGATAACCAAACTGGTGCATTGCAGAGTTCATTCCTGAACCTTTACAATCTGCTAGGGCCTGGCACAGCTTAGCTTCCATAGGCACAGCTCTCAGGAAACCACAGTCATCACCATGCCATGATGAAGCATCAAAGGAGAACTTTCTTATAAGACTTTTATATTTAAATGAAAATGAGGGTAATAAAAAGCATAAAGAAAGAAAATTTAAAATCTCCTACTCAAACAGATGTACACACCCGAAGAGCAGAGTATCTTAAACTACTGGTTTCTATGTGTAACCTGTTAACATCAATCATCTAATTCTGCATGACTAGGGAAAATTTACAATTACGGTTAAAAATAAAGCATCAGCTATTTAGTTTTTTGGGTTTTTTTTTAACCTTAACACAGAACCTGATCATCTATATTACTATTTTAAGAAAGGACTAACCCAACCAATCAATCCTGGACGCAATTCACAGAAATATTTGAGGTCAAAATGTCCAATTCGTGGATTTAATTCACGGCCAATAAAGAAATCATAGACAATATTTCCTGCAAAAGAAAAAGTATTTTTCAAAAATTATTTCAGCCCCAATCATGAAACTTGAAATTTTCAGCACTGTGTACTTGAAATTTAAAAAAAAATAAAATTATTCACCAACTCAGGATTTCAAACAAAATTATTCATAAATTACAATGCTTATTAGCCAAGAGTGCATAATTAGTATAACAGAAAGTATGCTTGGAATCTGAATACCTGGGTCTAAATTCCAACCTTGTACTTGGTATAATCCTAGACAAGTCAGCCATTTTAAGCCTCCATTTCCTTATCTGTAACATGAAGGAATTAGATCAAACGATCTGTGACAACCTGTCTAAATCTTAGGACCCTATAAGCAAGCTATTAAAAATAGTGCAATGGCATTAACTCTAAGCTGGGAGGAAGGAAGGAGAAAAAGTATCAAACAATTAAAGAGTTAATATTTCTATTTTTTTCTTAAAATTTCTTTCCCATCTTTGCATTTCAAAAAAGCCCAACACCCTAAATGTCTGAAAATTAGTACTTACATCAGGTAATAGAGTTTACAAAATTCTACATGAAGCCATATTAAAAAAAATTAAAGCACACTTACCTGATTTTCCTGGAGATAGCTCCTCTTTGGATGCTTTCAAGGACCGGACATAGAGATAAATGCTCAAGGCTACAGAAAAAACCGTAGCCGCAACTGCAAACTGAAGGAAGTGATCATACACATAACAGAGCTCTATCCCCCAGTACAGAGATATTCCAATGATTACAGATGTCAGAATAAAAGCATAGAATCCTTTAAAAAGAAAAACAGTAGGCAGTTAATTAAATGAGACAAAAATTACTTAAATTGTTACAATAATGAAGATTTTAAAAACTCTTGGTCTTCACTATATATATATATATATATATATATATATAAACTAAATATAGTTAGTCAAGACTTTACGAGCATACAAAAACCATGTAATGATGCTTATCTGAGAACACTTAAGAATATTCACGCTATCAACTATCCTGGAAAGCTGGGAGTAATTTGCTCTTTTAGGAGGACAAATAAGAACCAAATTAATAAAATTATCAGTAGATATCTAAAACCTTCAAAATCTGAAATGATCATTTAATCTTCAGACTGAGTTGCTACTTCTCAGAGCAAAATCACCGAGTTCATCAGAAGCATAACAGAAGTTTCTGTAAGGTTCTAGAAGCCAAGTTCCCAAAACCATAATACAGACATGAATACCTTGAATCTTGTTTACTGTGATGAACACCTCACTACATCTAGTCCACCCCAGCTAGTTAACCCCACCATCATCCTACCATACTGCCTGACACATTTCCCACCACTCTAACCCCTTCTTTCTACTCTTGCTCCGGGAAAAGCAATCAAATCAATACAACCATTGCTTCTAGAAAGGGTATATAATTTGGCTACCCCATAGATCCATTCATCATCTCTGTGATTTTACCCTTTCCTAGTCTAATGGCTTTTTGTGTTATCTCCCCTATTAGAATATAAGCTCCTTAAGGACAGGGATTGTTTCTCTTTTGTATTTTTATGCCCAGAGCTGAGCACAGTGCCTGACATATAATTAAGGTGAAATCAACTGTGGGGAAGGAGGGTTAATATTTTAATGGAATTTTATGGTAACTTCTTTTATAAAGAATTCTTCTGTGAAAGCAAGTCAAGAATCATCTTTACTGTTTCCATTTTTAAAATCTAGATTTTTTTTCAAATGGGGTTTAGGTAAAATAAGGTAAACTTTTTAACTCTTAATTGTTATGCTTTGCCCAATCTTTATTACATATTGTACTTGATAAAGTGATAGGTATAACATAGATAATTCTCTTTCCTAACTTCTGTGTGGGTTAAAAATAAGTATTTTATTCAAAATTAAATATACATAGAATTGTTTGCCAAATTCTTTATCATTCATTCTAAATATAATCCTATGAGCAGGTATTTTACTCACTAAAGAGGCAAAGAAAAGAAAGTTAAGTATTAATCTAATGTAATATGTTTCTCAGGTCTCCAACTCTGCTCAACCTTTGAGAATAACAGCTCTTATAAGAATAAAGAAAAAATAAAGTTTCTTAGAAAAATATAAATTGGCACTCAGAGAGAAAACTCTAAAATGCTTATGTCAAGAGATCTGGTAGCAAAACCTAAAACAATGCAATTTAACAAATTTCCAAAAACAGGCAGGCAGTCTTGCAGTGAAGACAGAATCCCAATGAGATTAAATCCAGTTCTGAGTACCCTACCATTATCCCAAGAACTATAAAAATAAAAATACTGGACTCTAAGTTCTTAGACAGCAAAAGCTCCTATTACATTTCTTTTTTGTATTTGTTCATATGTACATAGCAGATGCTTAATAAAGATTAGCTGAATGAGTGATTATGAATTATCTTTTTAAAAGTTTATAAAATATACTAAAATAAGCAGGAGAGACTAATGAGAACTACATTTATACAATATAATTATCAAGCAGGGGGAAAAGTACTATGGTCTAAGAGAAAAAAGGATGGGAACAAATATAAATATATATATACGTGTGTGTGTTATATACAGACACATAAATATACATATAAATATTGTACTGTCTATATACATATATATACATATATATAAATAAAAGGTATGAATGTCTATTAACCAAAACTATAGTTGGACTTAAGTTACTCATCCAACATCCAGAAATTTCTGTAAACCAGAAGACCCAAACCACTACTTAGTTTCAGCAAGACTTTCCCATTCATTTACATGGTATAATTGCTTACATTTTTTGAAGTGAACCTGAAAATTTAAGAGCCCACTAACGGTATTATATATGTGCAGTCAGAGGTCCTGGGTCCAAATCCTGGCCATCATACTTATTACCTGAATGACCTTAGGCAAATTACAGTTTGCTTCCCTATAATATAATGCTGAATTAGATAACCTCTTAGGTACCTTTCAGCTCCCAAGCTATCATCCTATAATCCAACTATGTTTATTGAACATACTAGTGGCAGATGCCATAAATATCAAAAGCATAACTGCTTCCCTCAAAGAGGGTTTACCAGGTATTACAGACAGGGCAGCAGATAATCACTCATATACACAAATTACTAAAAGTCAGGAAAAAAGCACAACAGAAAACAGTGTTATAAAGAATCTGAAGGAGAAATCATTTATAACTGGGATATCATGACAATTAATATGTAGGTATAACATCCCAATCTCATTACTGATTATGGACTGAGTTGCCCTGGGTTTTTGGAAGCAATGACAGACAACAGGTCCTGGAAGGCCCATCAGTCTGGAAAGGCTCCAAGGATAAATCCGATCACATTCTTCAGCCAAACTAAATGTGGAAAAGGTTTATCACCAAAAAAATGCCATGAAACAATGAATTTTTTTGGCCAAAGAAAGTCATGAAGCTCATTTACTAAGGAGAAGGTATAGTTTGCATCCACGCCCATACTAGCAAAACCAAGAACCCAGGGAAGATGAGAGAAAGCTAATAACCTTTCTGGACTACAAAGATATAATTTGTTAATTATGTTCTGATGAAAATAAACACTGCATCCAAAAAACAATTAATACAATTCTAGAAGTACCTAATTTGAGGTATCATGTGAGTAAATTGTTTAAACTCTAGAAGTACATACATATTTTATATAAAACATTTCATGTGCCATATCACTAGAGGCCTCTAAGTTACAACTGTATTAATTCAAAAAAATTACCGTTTAATCTATATTTTAATCTTCTTCCATCATAAAGAGGTGTTCCTTCTACTACCTTAGGAGAAAGAAAAATAAAATGATTAAAAGCATGCACATCACTCAAAATTCAAGGTAATCAAAATACCCTTCATCAAACCTGCCTCTTTCAAACCCACCTTTACAAATGCTTCACTTTTATATGTCCTTATTTATGATACTACTCCCTATCCTCCCCATCCCTCAGAGGCTTTTCTTCCTTTTTTTAATCTCTAAGTTTTCTTTACCTCATCCCTTTTTTTCACTACCATAGCCAATGAGTCCTATTGATTCTTACTCCAAAACGCCTTTCCCAATCGTTTTCTTTCCCAATTACCAGACTAACCTAGTACAAGCCTTTGTAACTGTACACATAGACTACATAGCAACAGCTTCCCTAAATTGTCTCTCCCTCCTGTCTTTCTCCCTTCTAAACTATTCTGAACACCATTACCAGATTTTTCCAAATTAGCACCACTTTCACCATGCTACTATCCTACTCAAAAACTTTCATTGGTTCTCCAGTGCCCATAGATGATTAAAAAAAAAACTCCTCTAATTTGTATTCAAGTACCCCTAAAATATGTACCCAATCTATTCAACCAAAATTCAAATACTTCAACTTATCCATTAAGCTTTTCCAGATTATTCATGGGTGCAATGAAAAGAACACTAAATTTGGGAGCCATGGGACCTGAATTCAAATCGTCACTTCACAACTTATTATCTTGGGAAAGTCATTTGACCTAAATGGGCCTCATTTTCCTCACCTGTAAAATATGAGGTTTAGACAAAGGACCTCCAGGGCCCCTTCCAGTGGCTTCTGGGCCACTGCAGCTCACACTACTTCTTTTTCTCTTCTAAACTACAACAGTACTTGTATAAAATTCTCACTGTGGTACTCATTACACTAACATGGCCTTATTTTGTTAAAAGTCAAATGTATAATCTCCTCAATCCTCAACAGTAAAGACTAGCTACTTTCTTTGTATATCCACCCCACCCAATAATACTTAATTATACACAGGGAAGACATTCAATAAATACTTTTTGAATTGAATAAATAAAACATTTTCCCAATGGCAGTCAAGTATTACTCCCCAGAATAGCTATTCAGTTTTTTAATTCAAACTCCACTATTTCAGAACTCATAATTTGACCTAACAAAACAATATATAATTATTTGCACACTATATCTCCATTAGACCGTGAGCTCCTTGAAAGCAGGGGCTATATTTTGCTCTTCTTTTGTCTTCCCAATTCTTGCCTGACATATAGTAGGTGCTTAATAAAAGCTAGATGGCCATCTATAAATCAGAACATATTTAACCTGCTAAGAATCCACAGTTTTAGCACTGTCCTTGTGGTATCTGTCAAATAAACTTTATCTACTCATTAAATTAAGTCTGAAAACTCTTTCCTGGTCTTTAGTCTGTTCTACCCTGCATGACAAAGTAAAAAATAAAATTCATTTCTTAATAAATATCCTATATTCCCAACTAGTATTCCCCCTTAATTAAGCTGATTTAGTAATGTTTTACTATGCACTGCAACTTCACCATCAAAATACTAAGAATCAATATCTCACATCACACTATAATACACACTTTTATTGTTACTTGAGAAACCAAACTCCATTTAACAAATTCAAGACAAACCCACTTTTTAACAAAAACTGAATTTCACAATAAACTGAAGTATTCTAGTGAGGTTCCAATACATTTGCTAAGTGCTATTCCCTCCCTAATGGTATTCCTCTATGTAATAAAATTAATCTTCTCAGTTTACAAGCAGCTGGCAAACTGTAAAGACCAAGAATAAAACCTTTAAATCATTTGTTTGAGTAAGCATTTTCACATTGCACATAACGGGCAGAATATGTGTTTAATTGAGAACACTATTAAATGCTCAACAATCTTGACAATTTTCAGGAGGAGGAGGAAAAATGGAAATTAGAAGCTTCTATGATACGAAATAAGATGTCCAAAGTCCACTCAAGTTCTTTACACTACCTCTATTTTTAATATAATCTTAATCAGAAACATGAGGTAATATGAGTGAAAGGAATTTTATTTTGCATCCAACTTGCCCATTACTCAGCTTCAATTCATATGGAAAGTTATATAAACTTAAGTAGAACAGCTTAAGCCTTAATAAGTAAGTGTTATTACATAATACAAGAAAAAGACTTCAAAACATGAAGCAATGATGACTTGTGTTTTTTGAGGACCTACTACTTGCAAGGCATTACGCTAGTTTCTTTGGAGGATACAAAAATTAATTCCAGAATCATTGTACAATTATTATTTACATGGGCAAAAATGAAGATTTCTCATATTATCCTGCTTAATAAAAACTTACCTTTCCAACTGGCAGGAGGTGGAAGAGGGCTTGGAGAAAAAACCAGAGCAGACAGACTCCAAACACTCTGGTTTCCCAAAAACTAGCCAAAGGTGGCAAAGGAGGAGGAAGATTCACAAGACTGGGATCTTTTTCTCTGCACATCAACAACAACATAAAGAGCATAACCGGCAGACCAATCATAATGGAAAAAGCTCCTATAAAACAATCAATATTCAAGAATCAAATCCTGATGAAAAGTTTAAACATTTTTTTTTTTAAAAAAGGAACCCTCCAGAAAAGTGTATAAAATAATTTATTGCAGTTCTTTTTGTGGTGGCAAACAACTGGAAGCTAAGGGGATACCCATCAGCTGGGGAATGGCTGGACAAATAATGGTATGTTAACATGATGCAACACTCCTATGCTGTAGGAAATGACAACACAGAGGGTTTCAGAAAAACCTGAAAACTTCTATGAAATGATGTAGAGTGAAAATAAGAACCAAAAGAACAATGTATACAATAACAACATTGTTAAGACAAATAACTGAGATACTTAGGAACACTAAGCAATATAATGAATAACCACAAATCCAGAGCACTTAAGATGAAACATACCACCTAACTCTTGATAGAGGTGGACACAGCAAACTGTGAGGGGAAAACACATACATACATGCACATACACATACACATTTGGATGTGATCCATTCGAGAATTCATTTTGTCTACGTATGTTTGGGATTCATTCATTCATTCTACAAATTTACTGAACATTCGCTAAGTGTGAGGCACTGTGCTAGCCTCAGTGGGGAACGTATGGATGAATAAAAAAAGTTTAAAAGATTATGGATTTAGATCACGGGAAAAGATCTTGGACTCCACATGATGTAAATTCTTTATTTCCGAAATAACGAGTCACAGAGTGGCCCTCAAATCACAAAGGTAAAAAGTGACAGAGCCTAGATTCACAACCAGGTTCTCTGACTCCTAAACTGAGCATTCTTTCCAGAACACCAACTACCCGTACTCTTCAAGTCCCTGAAGACAACAATGTATTTCTTCTAAACAGAACACATCCACCCAAAAACTACAAGAAAAGGCAATGTCATAATGTCTGAGAATGACAGTGACCAGGAAAAAGCTAAAGGAGTTCAGAATACAGAGATCACTCCCTGTAAGGGTGGGGACTGGTTTCAGAGAGGTACTACAAGAGGTAGCACCTGAAAGATAGGTAGCATTTCAACATACAGATATGTGAAGGAAAAGGTTGGGTAGCCATTTCTGACAGAAGGAATGGACATGAACCGAGGTCTGAACATAAAAAACGTCTTTTGGAGGATGAGTGAACAAGTACAGTTTAAGCTAGAATACATGATACATGCCAGGGAAGTGGAAAACATAACGAGAAAGGTATTTGCTGAACTGAAAGGTGGGCTGAGGCCAGAAGACAGAATGAACCCAGTTCCACTTTATTCAGGAAGTATGGCAAATAACTCAAAGTTTTTGAGGAGAGAAGTGAAATGATCACAGCTGTGGAAAAAATTAATCCAATAGCAATATATAGGATGAACTGGAACAGTCTTACAACTTTTAAAGAATAAAACTTACTCAAGAAAGTATTAACTTTATACTATACTTTTCCTATTATCCACCTAGAAGTTCACCACATAACAGACTATGCCCTTTTCTATTTCTTACAATATTAAATGACAAATGCACCCCCACAGTGAGGGTTCAGGTAGCACTCTTTCATATTAGTTTCCCTTTTCTGATTCACCCCCAAATACTTGCACCAACTTTTCAACCACCTTCTGCCTCTACTATATTGAAAGAATCTGAGTTTAGGTAAAAGTAGCTATTCATTCTATTAACAGAAACTTCTCATTTCTAGAGACAAAGACAATTCTGGTAATTTGGTCAACTCTGTACAGTTTGAATTCTGTATAGTTATTAAGGCATTTAGTCATTACAGTAATGAGCTGGGCAGAAATGAGGAATTAAAAATCTAATGTTTTAGAACGTTATTCCTGCCCAGTTAACAGACTAAAAAGTTGCAAAGAATGAACTGAGTTCTAATGTGTTTCAACTAGATTAAAAAATAGATTTTAAACTTTTCTTAAATACACCAAATACAACAAACATAATAGAGTTTGCACAATCCAACTGATGCATGCTTTAGTTAAAGGAAGCATAGCAACAAAGGATTTTCTGTAAATTGTTCAATGAAGAGTTAATGTAACAGGCTGAATACTTCCTCTTTAACGTGTTTCTATCTATGTAACGCTAACTGCTGAGCCAGCTCCAGCCTTTTGAGATCTTCTATTTGTTCCTTCTAAGTTATCCATCAGGGAAAGACACTGGAGGGGACCCAATGACAGTGTACCTTTTCTCCTCCAAATCTGGACTCCACTATAACCCAGTCTAAAGATATGACTGTACAATTTTAAATATGAAACTTGCATTTCAAGTAACAACTCCAAAATGGTAACCCATAATGGGATGTTATGGATGTGGACTAGCTAATTTTAAAAATAATCAACTTCTTAAAATCACAAAAGGCTAGAGTGTTGGTTTTACCGTAAGACTTAACTAAATGACCTCAAGGTCATTTTCAGGGTAAAGGTTCCAATTTCTTCAACAATTTACTAAATAAGTAATTTCTAATATACATACCAAACCCTCCTCCAAACTCTAAGTCCTCTGGTTCTGTAGCTGTTATTTCAAAAATTTTTACTGATTTTGGTTCTTTTACAACATTTCTCTCTTCTTGAGAAATTATTTCTTCAAATCTGATCTCTTCTTTTCTTGGGCGAAGGCTATACTGTGTAGCCAGATAGCTGCTTTCTTGTGACAAATAAGGTTTGTCCTAATTTGTAAAAAAAATAAATAAATAAATAAAAATAAAAAAATAAAATTAACCATCACAGTTAACACTAGTGTTAGACATGTCTCTCCCCAAGTTAAAATTTCAATATCCCTTAATGATAATTAAACCAATAATAAACATAGTTACACAACAATTCATAAGAAAGCATTAGGGTTTGTAGTTTGTTTCTTCTTGAAAAGCCATTTTAGCAAAAGGGGGACTGCTTGACAAAACAACAGGTTTCCATACCTGAATGTTTCTGTGAGATACGTCATTCCTTCCTATCCGGTCAGGTTTACCATTGTATCTGCTAATGCTGTTTCCACTTTGTTTCTAATTTAGAAAATTACAGAAATTTTAATAACCTTTGAGAATTCAGAAAATGTTCTAATAATTTTTAAACAGTAACCATAAATTAACAATACATGTGACCTTCCAAAAACATTCATGATTTCTTTTTCTATGATAAAAAACTAGCCAAATGATGTGTGAAAGAGGAAAAGAAGGCAGATGCTGTCCCATAGCAATTAATAATAAACTGTCCTAGTAAAGTTCATCACAGGAGAAAGAAATGATGGTTACTTAAGGACTCCTGCTACTGACAGAAACAATGCCAACCGTATGCAATAAAAATTGCCAACTTCTATGCGAAACTTATAGTAACTCAGTTTTTTATCTGTTGAGTAAAATTTGCTAATTGGAATCTGTCTCTTTGCAAACAGTATTATTCTATGTTCTGCTTTCCTCTTAGCATCTCTTCTTCCAAAGGCAAAAACATTTTGTTTTTCTAGTAGTAGACTAAGAGCTTATAGCAGGATTCATGGATAAGATCCTATATGTTACCAGATGCCATAGAAAATACACAGATGAAGCAATAATAAAACTCTAGCACTTCAGGAAAATAATATCAAATCACATAACACTGATAAAAAATTTTTTAAAAAAGAGCAATACATCTCATAGAATGCTAATGGAGCACAACATTAATACATCAAGCTCCAGGCCAAGTTATAGGTCTATTTTAGTAGATTAAACTAGAATAAACTTTTCAGGCTATGACTGTGAGCCATACTTATCTAACAGTCTCACTTACAAGCTGCACTCACTATCCAATAGTATCAATATTCAACAGTAGCTGATCATTTAATCCTGTATAACAGTTGCCAACCTGTAGTGATTCTAAGGTCATGGAAACTAAGACCAGAAGACCTAAGCAGGGACCATCATCAAGCTGTAGTGGAATTGGCAGGCCAAAAGAATCACCAGGAAAGTGACATTCAGATTATAATTAATTAGCTTTAAATGGTTCTTTCACAGGTAACCAGAAGCTCTTCAAAACATCTAACTTCTAAAAATAATGAAGTTATTCAGTGCCAAAACATAAAACAGAGATGGGGGGAGGAGGGGAACCACACAGGCTCTTCTTGAATAGAGTCTCTCTCTCAGAGAGGGGGATAACAGCCATTAACAGAAATGGACTTTTAAAAAAGTAGATGCTAACTCTATATTCACCTATGCATTATTTAAACTGTTGCTGGGCACAGTGATATTTTAGTGTGTGCACACTTAGGAAATAATCATTATAGAAAGAATCCTTATGGGTTGACATGACTAAAGTTGTTATAATGCTTTATGTATTTTATGTAACAATTTAAATACAAACGGTTACATTAAGCATGATTACATTCACATTCAATGTATTTACTAACATGTAATTAAAAAAGTCTCACAGCATTACTTTTGATTACTGATGTTGACAGATTAGAATGAGGCTAAAATTTGCTCCATTTAATATAAACATTTATATCAAAAAAGATAGATTATAGAATTTTAAAGTTTTAAGAGACTTCAGAGATCACCTACTTGGACCTCATTTTACAGATGAGGAAAGAGAAACCCAGAAATGACTTGTCCATGGTCTCACCAAAATCTTTGGACACCTATTTCACAGCCATTATGGGTCACACAAATTTGTACATGAATTAAAACATGCTTATTTATAACTAAGTAGAAATTCATTCCAATAAGCTAGTTTTGTTTCTTTTCATTTACTCTGGAATAAGCTAAGCCTATTTTAAAATGATTTCGAAACTGTAATACTAGAAACAACTACATGTGACTTACAATTTGAAATCATCCTTTCTAAATAAAGCGAAGAAATTTTTTTCTCCATCACCACTTTTTATAACTTTGTAATTTATTACCTTGTATTTGTGGTGATAAACACACAATTTTGTATAACTATAAATAAGGTTAGTATTATTTAAAGGCAGCACAGTGTAGCCAAAGCACACTAGCTTCAAAATCATGAAGAGCTAAGTTCACTTCCAGATCTGACATGTACTAGTTATATGAGTCTGGACAAGTCAACCTCTCAGTTGCCCAGAAAACTCTAAAGATGCCAAGCTAAAGGAGCCTCCTCATCCAGTGTTCTCTACACTAATGAAATTACAAGTCCACATCAAAAATAAAAAAAACATGAATAAACACGTACAAAAGATCTTCAGAAAGAAAAAAGCTACAGCTTGTTAAAGTTTTGATGGCAACTTGCATGGCTAAAATTCACTATGAGAATATTAAATAATTATAAATATTATCAAGTTCAGTCTTAAAGTCTTCATGAGAAAAGTTCCAATACCAATGGACACAAGTTGATTTCCACAATTTCTTTCTTGTCTTTAATCTCTGCATGCTGGGAAGCAGAACGACGTATGCTTTTTGGGGGACGGCCAGGGGAGCGAGATCGAGAACGAGATCGACTTCCCCGACGTCTGGAAGGAGAACTAGAGGAAGAGCCACTTTTCCTTTGCCTAAATGATGTTAAAGGCTATAAGAAGTTGTCGAAGAGAAAGAGAAAAAGAAATGTACAAAGATAAATGTATAAAAAATAGAGATATAGACACACTTGTTTAAAAGGGGAAAAGTACGTTCATTCATAAACACGGCCTCAACAATTAACTACTACTATTAAATATGCAAAATATTTACTGTACCTCTTAAATGTAGCATTAGGCTGTTTAGGACTTATGAAAAAATTGTATCAATCAATGTCCCCTCCACAGCTAATACACTAACTCCACAGTCATACCCTAACTAGCTCAATCTACTCTTTGAAAGACCCCACACATACACTTCAAGATGACTGGATTTTTTTCAGCCCACATAACTTAATTAACCTTTAGTTGAATCTTTTCAGTAGAACTACATGTTATAATTAAGATAACAGAGATTGAGATTCTTTGATAAAAACCACTGGAACCAGTATCTGGCCAACTCAAACAGCCCAGTGAAAACTGTTTTCGTTCACAACATATCAGTACAGCTTGAAAGCAAATGTAAAATGCCTCATTAGCTTAACTGATGTTTCACAATAACTTACTTTAAAAAGACAAATCTTAACCATAAACTACATTTTCAAACCTGACACATCAAAAGCCCAGTTGGAACTGTTGGCCTTCATCCTAATGAGGAGGCACAACTAAGAAACATTAGTTTCCATATAAGATAGAGAAAAGCTAGACTAGTCTAATCAGAAGAATCTCAGAAAACAAGTTTCTCAGGCTATAAATTTCTATTAAAGCAGAGAATACAACCTGTTTTACTTTTGGTTCTCTAGTTTTAAATTTCAGTTATTATTAAAGGGATTGGGAAGCTCTGATGCAATGGCTCCCTATTACCTCTGGGATCAAATACAAAATTCTCTGGCTCTGAAAGCACTTCATAACTTGGTCCCTTCCTATCTCTTAGTCCTCTTACATCTTATTCACCCCCACCTACCCTATGATCCAGCAACACTGGCCTCCTCGCTGCTCCTTGCACATAATACTCCATCTCTGACTGGGCATTTTCACTGGCTGCCCTACTACCTGGAACTGGTGTCTCCTCATATCTGCCTCCTGCCTTCCCTGGCTTAATCTCATATCTGAATCTAAGGTCCCATCATCTTCAAGAAGCCTTTCCTAGTCTTTCTTTATTTTAGTGCCCTCCCTCAGAGATTATCTCAAATTTACCCTGCACGTGTACAGTCTGTACATAGTTAGTGGCACACTGTTCCCTGAATCAGACTGTGCTGTAGCACCTACAGAGACTGGGGGGAGGGGGGAAAGCAGGGTACAACATGGGGAATGTTTCTAATCTTTCTTCGTATCCCCAATGCCAGAGCCTGGCACATAAGTTTAATACTAGTGGACAAACTTTTACTTGAGAAGTAGAAAGAGCAAGAGACTGATGTCATCTTTTATACCCAGTTGTGAAAACACAACAAAGCTTTATAAATCTTGATTACAATATCCTAAGAGGCCATTAGAGGATAACAACATCCCACTAAGTATACTTCTTATTCATGCCACTCTTCTCTGTGCATCTTTGTCTCTTTAATTAACTAGGAATACTAGGGAAGCACATTATTTGTTATATTTACTGAAGAATGTTTTGTATTTCTTGTCATTTTAATAATAAGATAATAATACAAGAGGAAAGCTTTATATTTCTCTCTCAAAAAATTCACATTAGTAATTTATATTTTTGTGGATCCAAAGTTCCCCACCTCTATCTTAAGAGTCTCAAATAACATAGCATTTTCCTAATGAGCTAAATAATATCAATAATATTTGTAGTTATTTCTCAAACATGCCTTGGTACAAAACACAGCACTTACCTTTATATCACTCTCTTTCAATTCAAGTTCAGTTCCATCTTTGTATTTCACAGTATAAAGACGGGATTTGCTATCTTGGCTAAGTACCTCCACTTCATAATAAAGTGAACTCCCAGGCCAACGTCCTCTTACTACCTCACCATCAGCAAATTTCCTGCTTGGCATTTTCCAAAATTAATCTGAAAAACAATTTAAACAACATTTGGAATAAGTATATGCAGAACTGACTTTTCTACCTTTTCTAGTATTATGGGATATCTTCTATGGCTGAAATGCTCCCCTCCTCCCCTTCACCTGCTATATTTCCCTGGCTTCCTTCAAGACTCAGTTCAAATCCCACCTCCTCAGCTGTTAATGTTTTCCCTTTAAGATTACCTTCATATATCAAGTATGTACCTAATTATCTAAAAGTATCCCCTATTAAAACAGCAGCACCTTGAAGGCAGGGGCTGTTTGGTTTTTGCCTTTCTTTGTATCCCTAGTGCTTAGCACAGTGCCTGGCACGTAGTAGGACCTTAATAAGTGTTTGTTGACAGATCACTGTACTCAGTAACAGCAGTATTTTAATGATTATTAACTGTGAAAGACTTAGCTACTGATCAATACAATGACCAAAGACAACAGAATGAAAAATGCTCCAAAAAGAAAATCGATGAAACTGAGTAAAAACTGAATATTATTTTCCCCACTTTATTTTTCTTGCCTTCCTTTTTTTTTTTTTTTTTTGCAACATGGCTAATATGGAAATGTTTTGCAGGATTTCCCACATTGCTTGCCTTCTCAATGGTTGGGAGAGGGACTAGAAGGAGAGAATTTGGAACTCAAAGTGTTTTTAAAAAAGAATGTTAAAAATAATAAAATTTTTAAAGGAACTAAAAAGGTGATAAAAGAGCTCCAGGGTACTTGTGTAATAGCACCCCCCCCAAAAAATGCTTAACTATTAGATAATATGTAACTTTCTGAAATGTTAAATTTGTATTATTAATTCACCCAATTCTAAAATATTATGACTAAATAACACAGACCTTAGAAATCACTTATATCTTTCGGCTACATCATTTTATACATGTGAAAACTGAGGCTCAAAAGGTCACAAAGTCACATTAAAGGTAAACTCCCCCTTCTTTTAACTGGAGAGATGGGAGTGGGGAGATGGAGAGGGTAAATGTTTCGTAATTTTGCATATGCTGTAAGAGGTAGGCCATGTACGAGCTGGTTTTATGGAACTCCTGGGTTTTGGCATTTTTTTTTTTAATCTCTTTCCAAGTGAAGGCATGGTAGATAGGCGGGATAAATACACTCATAAATGAACATGAGATATAAAAAAGGCAACAATAATAAAGAAAAATCAAGGACCAAGATTAGACTAGTCCGGTACTCTTTTCACTATACCACACCATTCTGAGGTCTACTTTATAAAGGTTAATCTGGTACTGCGTTAGGTCTAAGTCACATGAAGATATCTGTGCTAATGAATACTTTCCACTTACAGGCTACAAAATCCACCACTGCAAAAAAGTCTCTCCAAATCTATAAAGGAATGCCAATTTTCCCTAGAGTTGAGATAACATTTTCAATTCTTATTTGTAGTCCTATGAAATGAGATAGAACTCAAATTATAATGTTAACTCAACCTGCACTATAATCCATGTGGTCTCTGCTTAAGTAGGTACTTTTCTCTACTAGATCATCATATGGAATTCTCTGGTGCCATCATAACAAAAAAAACTTCTTTACCTCCTTCAAAAACTAGGCTCAACACTCATCTGCCACTTAACTATTTAAACTTAAATACTTGGTATATTCACAGATCTGCTTCTCTGTTACCTATTAATGGTGTCCTGCTAATAAGTCTCAGCCTTGGATTATTCCCACTATCCCCTAGCTTTGCTCTTATTCACTTGCTGCTGAACAAAGCTGGAGAAAAATATCAAAACTATACTGACTGGGTCCACTACAAACTTATGTTAATAAATTTCAACAAGGCCGTCACTGAGAGAGGGCAATCCTTTCACAACTCCCTACTCAATTCAAGATCCCACTAACCATAGCTGTTTCCCACAATTTCTCACTACTCAACCTCCCACGGCTCCCGTTCCCCCATACATCTGAGAACCTCGCCTCATATTTCACAGAAAAATCTGAGGTCATTCTCTGAGACTTCCCTCTTACCCCCACCTTTTCTTCATCTCACATTTCATTGCTGCGTTCCACCACTATCTCCTCTTTCAAACCCCGTCTCTCATAAAGAGGTAGGTAGCTCTTTTTCTTCCGAAGGAAAACCCTTCTAAATGCACAAGTGATCCCATTCTATCCTGTTTTCTCCAGAAAACTGCTCCTTCTATCAGCCTTACTTACTCTCTCACTGATCTTCTATCTTTCCTTATCTACTGGCTCCTCTATTGCCTACAAACATTATTCATTCGTTTTCTCAATCGCCCACTAGCTATCATGCAGAATCTCTCCTCCCTTTTGTGGATAAACTCGTTGAGAAGGTTGTCTACAATAGGTGCCTCCACTTCTTTCCTCTCCTCTCTTCTCATTTTCTGCAGTCTGGCTTCTGACCTCATCATTTGACCGATGCTGCTCTCTCCAAGGCCACCAATGACCTCTTAATTGCCAAATTTAATGGCCTTTTCCTTTTTGACTCCTCTATGGCCTATTCTTCCTCTATAGTATTTTGCTTTATCACCTCATCACTTCCCATGAATTCAATCATTATCTCTGTGCAGTGCTTATCCAGCACTAATCTTTCCTCACCTCTAGTCTCACAACTTAAAATGCCTATTTTAATATGTCTATCTATTTTTAAATGCCTATTTAGAACTGGATTGTCCCACTGACAACTTAACCTCACTGGATCCAAAACTGAACTCATTATCTTTATCCCCTCTTCCTAACTTTCCTGTTGCTGTCAAGGTCACCACTATCTCCCAGTCATCTAGGCTTGCAAACAAAGTATCATCCTCAACTTTTCACTCTATCACCACTCATACCCAATCAGTTGCCAAACCCTGTTGATTCAGCCTTTATAATATCTCTCATACATGTCCCCTTCTCTCCTCTGACACCATCAGCACCCTTGAAGTCTCATCCTGAGAGGACCATTACAGAAGCCATCTGGTTGGTTCTCCCTGCCTCAAATCTCTCCCTGCTCCAGACCATCCTTCACTCAGCTGTCAAATTGATCTTCCTAAAATGCAGTCTGACAATGTCACATCCTATCCAATAAACTCCAATAGCTCCCTATTACTCTTGTACCAAATATAAAATTCTCTGGCATTCAAAGCCCATAATTTTGCCCTTTCCAACGTTTCTTGTCCTCTTACACTTCCCTGCTACTCCTTGCATAAGAAACTCCACCTCCCAAAATTTTCACTGGCTGTCCCCCATGCCTGGAACACTATATCCTGCCTCCTGCCTTTTTTCAAGTCTCAGCTAAAATCCCACCTTCTTTAAGAAGCCTTTCCGGATTCCTCCTTAACACTTCTTTCAGTGCATTCCTTCAGTGATTATCTCCAATTTATCCCATATCTATTTTGTTTGTACATGGTTGTTTGCATATTGTCTCTCCCACTAGATTGTAAGCTCTTTGGGAGCAAGGACTTTTTTTTCCTTTTTTTAATTTTATCCCTAATTTTACCCCTTTTTATCCCTAACACATCAAATTGCTTGGCACATAACAGGCAATTAACAAATGACTTTGTTGAAAGGCAAAAACAGGATCCCCACTCTCAATTTCACATTTTATTGAGGGAGACAACATGCAAACAACTATGTACATACAAGATATATAGTGTAAATGGGCATCACATATACCTACATGCACATATAATCTCCCTTGTTTGAGTATAAGCTCCTTACTACCAGGGACTTTCTAAGTTATCTTTGAATCCCTAGGAGTTAACACAGTGCCTAGCACACAGCAGATTTAATAAATGCTTTGTGATTGATAAGTGTGTACATCTTCATTTGAAGAGAGAGAGAGAGCAGGAACAACTAGAGGGATCAGGAAAGTCTTCAATTATGTTCAATACTTAACTGATGATTAACACAGGTAATATTTTTTGGTGGTTAAACTAACATTTTATACCTTGATTTAACTATTAGTATAGAAAATTAGGTGATTTTAGTGATAACTAGGTTATGGTGGAAGAATTTTCAAATAAGGTCTGAAAAGCAAGTCAGTACTGATTTCGTAAGATTTGTATCTGGACAGGGTTTTTGAAATCAAGATTTTAACTAACTAAAAAGATATTTATATGACATAATAGAAAAGAACTACTGCCAACCTCTCTATCATTTTGTTTTGCCTCTGAGGGGGATTGTTTTTTATAAAGTCTCCAAGTTCAGGGAAAACTAGAAGGATTTTCTAGAGGGGAAAAGTATAGGCCAGAGAGGCTGGACAACTTGCACAGTATCACACAGACAGGAAATAACAAAGGCAAGATTTCAAGCCAAGTCCTCCTCAGAGTCTCAAAGGGACGCCCTGTCCATTATGCCATGCTGCTTTTAATTCACATACAACTTTACACATAATCATCATCATGTAATATAAACATCAACACTCATTAATAACATCAAGTAAGTGTAATAATGTCAAATAATCAAGAGAATACATAATGATCATAGAAAGTACTGTAGCTTCTTTCCTCTCTCCAGTTTCCCCTTATTATACACTGCCAAAATAATTTTCCTGAGACACAGATCTAACATTATACCCACATACCCATACCCACACATCTCAGTAGCTCCCAATTGCCTACAGGATATTTTGAAGAAATTTCTGAGGAAATTTCGAAGAAAAATACAAACTTGCCCGTGGTGTGCCGTTTAAGACCATCCACAATTTCACCTATATTTCCAGTTTTATTTCATACCTCTCCCCTTCACAAATTCTACATTCCCACCCAATCTGAACACCATTCTCCAAACTCAATACTGCATTTCTCCAAGCTGTCTCTACCTTCCAGGTTCAATCAGGTACCACTTCCTCCCCCTAACTTTACAGGATCCTCACAGGCATTATTAGTGCTCCCTACCACTGAGATTTTCCTTGAACTATTTTTAGTTGCTATATATGTCCTACTCTCTCAAAAGAATTTAAGTTCCTCAAGGATAAGGGCTGTTTCAGTTTTCTTTGTGTCCTCAGTGCTAACAGAGTCTTGCACAAAGGTACTTAATAAATGCCCATTAAATTGAATTCCTTTGTACATCCTGAGTACATCCAGCACTCTCAAAGATGCCTAAAACATGACTTTGCAACTAACTTCCTGCTTAATGAAGACATTGCTGTATTCTTACAGGAACAAGGGAAGAGATATTCAAACACACCAACAGTCTTAGTGCCATGAAGATGCTCTTCCTCCAACTAAACAAAATTAATCTATTTGTAATCTTTGGAAAGACAAAATAATTAGGAAGGTAAAGAGTACATACACAACATAAACAAAAATATACAAAGCTAGAAGATAAATGAAGGTATACAAAGTTACATCAGCAAGTCTCAGAGGCTGAGTGGTGGAGTTTGGAATATTATGAGAAAAAAAGGTTAAAATACTAAGGAAATTTTGATTACATAAAGTTAAACAAGCACTTCCTTTGTTCTACACAACGACAGAAGCACTTTCACATTTTTTTTTTTAGGGTAGCAATATCTAAGTCTTCTCCCAGCCCTCTGCAGTAATGCCAAGTTCTAGAAGCACCAAAAAATAAATAAAAAAAGAAAACCAGAGCTAGTATAGTTACACACCATAGGTATCTCAAAAATTGTACACACAAACCACACATTTTTTACATGTACTTGTTCAAGTTTTTTTCTACTACATTTTCCATCATCATTTAGATTGAGCATTACCATACTAGCCATGCATTTTTGAGCTTATAACAGATTCAAATTTTGGGATGCAAAGACATTATGGGTCATCTAGTCCAGGGGTGTCAAACACTGGTGCCCAGGACCCAAAATACTCCCAGTGCAGCCTGAACTTTATTAAGATGTGAGAAATATTTAATAAAATAGATAAAATTTAACATAGAAAACTTCAAATCAACATTATCTAAGTCAATATGTGGTCCAGAGGGATATATATCTATTTGAGTTTGACACCACTGGTGTAGTCTACCTCCTTACATACGAAGGTAACTGAAGCCCAGAGGTTAATCAACTTGTCCAAGATTAGAGGTACTAAGTTACATAGCTAATATTTGGACACAAGTACTTTCACTGATTATACCATCCTTCCCTCTACAGAGAGCCCTCTCCAGCTACCTGATATGTAAACCAAACCCCTCAAAATATCTCAGCAATATTTTGCATAATCCTGCTTTCCCCAAGCACTAAAACCATATTCTGCAAAGCAACTCATCTTTTCCCAGACAGATTTTAGAACAGAAATTTTAAAATCTTACAAGTCCTTTTTCCTGTCATTCACTACAAAATACCCGTCACGTCCCAATTTGGTGTTTAGTTAGATAAAAGGAACAAAAAAACAAGACACAGAATTTATAATTATTGTACATGCTTAAGTACACTTTTATCTGAATGGAGAAAATGGTTAAGATACATATGTATACTCGGGTATTCTTGAATAGACTCAATTCAGTCAAATTTGATTGAAAGACAAAATTCTGTACATTAAGTTCAATATCCTCACTCCTACTGTTCCCCTGGAACTCTTCTCTCCATTAAACCACAATTCTACTTAGTTCCCAGAAAAATTTCACTTCAATATGTTAATAGTTCTTAACTTTTCTTGCATTCAAATGAAGTCTCTACAGCAGTTCTTAAACTTTTTTGTAGACCCCTTTGGCAATCTGGTGAAACCTAAAGACTCCTACTCAGAATGATGTTTTTTTAAAAGCACAAAATAAAATACCTAGGATTACACAGAAAACCAATTAAATTGAAATAAAGATGTTATTTTTTTTCCCATCCAAGTTCAGGGACTTCCTGAAATCTATCCAAGCATCCCTTAAGAGTCCATGGATTCCAGATTAAGAATCCCTGATCTATAGCTTGCCTCCAATTTCAAGACTAGACAGGCTTTGTTATGGATTATTTTTTTAAACGACTTCATCTTTTTAAATGCCTGGAGATCTAAGTAACAGAAAGTAACTGGGGAAAAAACAAACAAACACTTTTTAAGTTTAGAGACGCTCAACTCTTAACTTAAAAGGGGGCACTGTCAAAAACCAGACTGTCAGTCACACAGGAATGGAGAAACAGACCGGATCTCTGAACACATCTTCAATTCTACATGTCACAATTCTACATTTTTGTAGGTTTAAAGAGGGGCTAGATCAATCAACAGTGGGAAAATGTCAAAGGTATTATAACATTCTGCAGTATTATACATTCTAATCCTGCAATAAATGCTTGATATGCTAAAACATTTTGCCTCATGTCTTTGTAATTTTGCCTTTTTCTTCGTAATTGCCTAAGAACATATTTGTCATAGGTTCTAATTCTTAGGGTTACTTCAAGGAGTTGGTCTTGTTATTCTTCTTCAACTCCAATCATCAGCAAGAGGAAGAATGAAATTAAAAACATTATAAAACCAAATGCCCTAGTTTTCTTGTGGATTCCCCAAACCAAAAAGGCTATGCCAGCTATGAAGGGGAAATGGGCAGTGGCCTTTACCTTCGCTAAAAAAAAAAAAAAATGTACCCGCATAAAACACACCCATTCCATTTTGTATTCACTTTACAAATGACAAGCAGGCACAGACACAACTAATTGTTGAATTGAATGCTAATTTGTGACAAGCATCAGAGGTTCGAAAGAGGAAGTTACCTTAGTGTCCATTCATGTGCTGGTTTAGCTTTTCTACTCTGCAGTCTCAAAGTCCTCTAAGCACGTATCAATTTCAGCAAGCAATCAACTTAACCTGCCAGGTCCAGATGTTATAATCCTTTTTGAACAGTGCCTCGCAGAGCAAGCTCCTGCTAATTAAGCACTTCCCTGCCATAATAACTCTCCTACATATAACAGCGATTTAAGATTTGCAAACCACTTTCTTCATAACAACCCAGTCAAGCTTAATTATCAAGTATAATTACCCCCATTTTACAGAGGGAAAGGAAGCTCAGGCACAGAGATGAAATGACACAAGAATTCTTTCCACTTCTCCACTGTGTACTTTAAAAAGTACTTTTCGAAGGTAATAGTATTTTAAACGCCATCTCAAGATTTAATCACAGGCTGGCATCATTACGAAATACATATTAATATGACATATATGAAGTCAATAAACATTAAGTACTGCCATGTGCCAAGTACTGTGCTAAGCGCTGGGGATACAAAAAATGGCAAGACAGTCAGTCCCTACCCTCAAAGAGTTTACAAAAAATAGTATTTTATAAGTTAAGAACTCGGCCACAAAGCTCTCCGCCTAAGGACCCCGTCCTTCTTTCCAACAGTGAACCCAACATCCCATCTCTAAGTGGGCATTTCAAAATGCATCGACAATTTGTTTTTTAATCAGTCACAAATCCCCGCGCATTAGTAGGAGTTTAAAAAAAAAAAAAACCCTTTCTCCATCTCCGCACATTTTCACCCTTTCGGACCCCGCCGTAAACACTCTTCTCTCCCCATCTCCTGCCCCCAGGCTTCTCCCACGCTACTTTTAAGACTGCGTGAAAATCCCACCTTCCCTAGGAAGCCTTTCCCATCCCCCCTTAAACTAAGTGCTCTCCCTCCGATCCTCTCCAAGTGATCCGGGATCGGGCTGGTTTGTGCACAGTCGTGGGCAGGCTGTTCCCCCTTTCCTCATTAGACTATAAGCTCCTCGAGGGCAGGTGCTGCCTTTGGCTTTTCTTGGTATCCTCACCATTCAGTACGATGCCTGTCACCTAGCAGGTGCTACATTAAAAGCTCGTGGTCTTGAACTGATGGTATGAACACAAAAACAGGTCGAGCTCGGCGACCACCCCTCTCTAGGACCACCTACCCCCAACCCCTAGATGGACTGAACTATTTCCAGAGTTCATTGCTTCATCTGTCTCCATTCTCCCAAACCACCACCCCAAAAACAAAATGAGGGTGGGTGGCGTGAGCAATAAAGGCGTGGCGGCCGGAGGACGCATCCCAGGAGGCAGGGACCCCAGAAAGTCCCCTCCCGGCGCGGAGTGCCGCCGCCGAAATGGAGGGAAAACGTCAGTCATTTAAAGCCCCAGTCAGTCGCTTAAAGGCTCCCCGCGGCGCGCGTGGCCGCCGAGGGTTGGCAGCCGACCTGAAGGGGGGAGGGGGGCAGAGGACCCTCCCCCCTGACTTCCCCCTCGCCCCCCCTCCCCCCCGTCCCGGTCCCCTCCCGGGGAGCGCGAGCCGCAGCTACAGGGAGGCGCAGAGCTCCTGGCCAGTTTAAACCACCGCGGGGGGGGGGAGGGGAGGAACCATCTCTCCTCGTCCGGGAAGTGGGGTCGCTTCCTCCTCCCCCCAGTTGTGGCAGCGAGATCGAGACAGCGGCGCCCACCACCACCACCAACCCGAAGCCTGCCCCCTGGAGCGGGGGGCTGCGGGGCCACCCCAGGCTCCGCTTCGGTCGATCCTGGGGGTGGGGGACTGGGCGCAGTCCCGGAGGACACAAGATGAGCAGCGGCCTCCGGACCCAGTCTCCCCTCACCCGGCCGATGAAGGGAGGGAAGGGGGAGGGGAAGGGATGGGTAGGGGTCCCTACCTGCAGCCGAGGCTCCAACGGGGACACAAACATCCAAAAATGTACAGAAAAGTCAATCCGGCAGCGGCGGCGGTTCCGGGAGCGCGACTCGCCTCCAGCCCGCGCTCTCGCGCCTCGCGCTCCCGCGGCGCCCGAGGCCTCCGCCCCTCCCGGGAGGCGCGCGCGCGCGCTCCCTTCACGCCACCACCCCTCCCCGCTTTCCCTTCCTCTTCTAGCCCCGAAACGTGCCGCCGGGCGGTGGCGCCAAAAATTCCAATTGGTCCCTGCCTAAGGTTTGAATGGTCCGCCTTGCAGCCGATTGGCTGAGGGCTCCTGGCGTGTGAAGTATGTGTTTGTCTCTCTCTCACACTCTCCATGGGCCCCTCCAAAAGAGCCCCGCCCTCAGCGAGGGAGCCTCGGGTCGAGGCTGTGATCTGCAGGGTGGGGCGGGGCCGACGCCGGGGGCTGGTTGGAGCCCTTATTTTGCCCCAGTTTTATCTCGCCCTCGCAGACGCCCGAGCGTCTGACCCAAGGCTGTGTGCTAAGAGCTCTCAGCTCCCCGCCCTGGCCATTTGCCTCCCGAAACCTAGCCCTGCCTGGCAGCACCGAACTCCCTGGCTTTTCTTTTGTGCTCTGCAGAAAGCTACGACTGTATCACTTTAGCACCTCTTAGGAGTCAAAGGCACATTGCGTCAGTGACGGGTCGGCTCCTGCCCTCTGCCTGAGCTGCGGCGGAGCAGCAGTGGAGATGCTTTGATAAATGGTTTTGCATTTTGCAACCTGCAACAGAATTCCGTGCCCCGACCATCCCAAATCCTGCTTTTGTCAAGGTTTTTATGGGGTTACTTTGTTTTGGGGTTTGCCTTACACAGGAGCATTTTGGGGGCCTCTAGGCCCCAGTGAAAGCACACTCTCCCATCTACCTATTCCTTTCTGGAACCCCACTAAGGTGATATTACTGCATTTCTCTTGTCTTTTTCCCGGGGCCTAAAACAATTTAAGCGCTTAATAAATGTAGAGTAGTGGCCGAGGGAGAATATCCAAAAATAGTCCCAGTTCAGCAGGTAAGGTGTAGGGTATGGTTTCTAGGCTTTAGAGTTGGGCGGGCGGGACCTAGGGTAGTTAAACGAATTCATTTTATAAATGAAGAAACTGAGGCCCAGGGAAACTGAAGTGAGTTCCCCAAGGTTGACCTGGTAGTCAAGTTATTGTTTGTCTTTTCTTCTGGAAGAGGTGATGCCAGGACATGGAAGTGAATTGGATTTAAGTGAGAGAGAGCTATGCAAAGTCAGCAGCCTCACTTTCTCCTCCAGAGCCATCTGGGTCCAGTAGCAAGATATAGATCAGAACGACTGGAGATGGCTTGGGATGCAGTGGGAGACCTTAGTTTTAATAAGCTGACAGGTCTTAGTTTGAAGCAACCCCTCATTCAGTGAGTAAGGCTAGGTAAGAAGTAAGGCAGAGCGGTAGTCAAGTTTATTAAGCTCCTATGTGCTAGGTACTCTGTGAAGCTCCGGGGAAACAAAAGCAAAAAAAAAAAAGTCTGCTCTTAAGGACAGTCTAATGATGAAAATATGCACACAATTATGTGTCAGAGAAAGAAAAGACAAAGAGAGAAAGGAGCTATATATACGTACAGGATAAATTGGAGATAACCCCAGACTGGAGACACTAAGTTTAAATAAGACTGGAAAAGACTTTTAGCAGAAGTGGTTCCCACCTAATATACACCCATTATGTGGTTAGGAAAAAAGTGGAGCCCCTACTTTGGAGGCAGCCTTGCCCACAAAGGACAGGACCACCCTCTTCAGAGGAAGAGTTCTGACAATTAGGGTTATCCAATCAGAGGAGTGAGCTATTTTGAAGCCAGCTAGATTCTTTTCAACTTTGTTTCCACTACAAAGGCTCTGAGGTAGGTTAATCAGCCTCCTGGTTCATGTTTCTACTACGCTGACGAACCAGTTTTTTTTTTTTTCTTTCTCACCACAATCCTGTGAGATTATCCCCATTTTACAGATGAGGAACCAAACTAGTTTTCTCTAAAACTCACCCAAGATCAGATCAAGGAATGAGGTTTTTCAATTCTGTGGGATTCTAAACCCCAGATTCTTTCTACAACACTAAATCTATAAGAGTATCATCTAGGGCACGGGACACTTTTTGGGTACTTGGTAAATATTTTTAAAAGGAAAGATATCACTTTGCTATTTGGGTCTGGGAGCTCTTATAAATTCGATTTTTTTTTCTCCTAAGAAGTTTATCCGACTACATGTCCATTTTTGTCTTTTTGACTTGGAAATTTAATTTTTTTACCTCTTTTACAGTTATCACTGAAGTATAAATGGGAGAAAGATTCATTTATGAAGCCTAAATACAAAATCATCAAGAATACTAAATACTAAATCCATTACTATCTTATACAGTTTACCAAAATTCACAAAGGTCAAGGTTGGTATGAGAACAGACCTTCAGGGTTTTGTCAGACCCTGCCAAAGTAGTTTGTGTGAGAGGCAGCATAGAAAGATTTCTAGCCTGGTTTGGAGACCAGGCTTCTGGTTCTAGCTATACGTAGCTGAATAGCAGTAAACAATTCATATTCTTAGGTGGCTTCAGTTTCCAAATCCAAGGCATGGCTATTTGGGGGGTGGGGGAAAAGGACTGGATTTGGGGATCAGAAGAATTTTGTGTTCTAAGCCTAGCCCTGAGACTGTAGAGCTATGTGAATGTAATCTTTATGAGCCTAAATTACCCCACCAGTGAAATAAGAATCATAATACTTGTACTACTTAACTCACAGGGTAATTATGAGGAAAGTACTTTGTAAACCTCAAAACTATGTGAGTTTTTATTTGTAAAATGAGGGAGTTGGGGTTGGCCATAGAATCTGGAGCAAGAAGGGGACACTAGAGATCACTTAGCCCAATCATTTCATTTTGCAGATGAGAAACTGAAACCCAGGGACATTAAGTGATTTTCCCCAAGGTTAATCACATAATAAATGAAGATTTGAACTAAAGTCATCTGACTTCAAACCCAGAGCTCTTTCCATTGTATCACACCCTCTTTCTATCATCTCTGACATTCCTTCCTAAGCTTATGTTTTATGAACTACTTCAGAGTTTCAAGTTGAATTGTTTTATCCAAAATTTGACCACCAAAAGGGAGGAGATTACAATCAAGGCATGCCTCATTTGTCACAATCGCTTTAGTGGCTGAATGAAGGTTGAATTGGAGTAGGGAGAGACTTGATGCAGGCAGCCCCACCAGCAGGCTATTGCAATAAATCCTGATGTTTGATGATGAGACCTTGCACTAGAGGGGTGGTATTACTACCAGTAAGGCCCAGCAAAGGACTTCACCAACTTGGTTTGGCATCAGGAGAATGAATTTTTGAGACAGAGCAACTCTACAAATCTATGTACCAAGTTATAGATGTTTTGCACCAGTGAGATCACAGATCTTTAAAGTAGGGAAGTCTATTATTTAAGTAAATTCCAAAGTGAATCTTTTTTAAGGCACAGAATCCTGTTTTAAAGTTAACAACTGTTCCCTTATTTATGTTTGATAATTCCCAATTTTCCTTATTTTAGAGGTGTCTTAAATTGAGGCAAACCTGTACAGTGTACCAAATAACAGAAATTATACCATTGAGTCAGTATAATACATCTATAGGGTCCTCCAATATAGGAATTTTTTTCAAAAATTCTTTATATTTGCATCCTCAGTACCTAACACAGTGCCTGGCACTTATTAAGAGCTTAATAAATGCTTGTGTGATTGATTGGGTTATGAGGAAGTATGGCATATTGAACAGATAGCTGGTCTAGATGTCAGAAAGACCTGGGCCAAAGTATGGCCTCTGACACTTAACTGTATGACCCTGGGCAAGTCAATTGGTTTTCAGTGCCCCAGGCAACTCTCTTGAACTACAAATAGTACAGCTGGTAACCCTGGGGAATTAGAAGAAATTGGCTCATCGAGTTCTTCATAACAAATAAATCACTGGTCAAGTCCAAATAATAATAATGCATTTATCTCCTTCCCCACATAAGTATGATTTTAATTTACTCAGAAATAGTGACTCATGAAATTAGTAATTCTTCATATAATATATTATAGACCCCAAACCTATTATTTCAAGGTTCTTATTGAGTAGATAATTCCAGTGTTCTGAAGTTTCTTTAAATGTATTTTTACATTGATATCATTTAAGACATGACACTGAACTGCCTATAATTTGTTGTGTGGTTTTATATGAAATGACTTACATTCCACTATTCATGATACTGAAACCTCAGTGAGTTCATTTGTGTTTTAGTATTTAAATGTGCTTTTACAGTAAGATGTGATTATAAAAGACATGATCAAAAAACACTATAACCAGGAAAGGATGCTCAGCAATGAAAAACAACACCTGGCCAGTCCAGGTGTTACAGTAGTATTCCCCAGATAGGAGAAGACCAAGAGGAAGGTCTCTAATGCATTGGCAAGTTTCACCCATAGAGGATTTATGGAAAAGAATAAACAAGGCTTAAACAAGATAAAAAGGCCTTGAGAGTGAGCATGCAGCATCAGAGATGAAAACCCTCTTTGAGACTCAGTCTCTCTCTCTCTCTCTTTTTTTTTTTTTTTTGTCAAATGAAAGCCTTACACTAGATAGCAAGGGAGGAGAGGGAAGAAAACAAGCATTTATTAAGCACCTACTATGTGCCTGGTACTGTGCTAAGAACATGACTAGTATCTCATTTGATCTTCAAAACATCTCTGGAAGGGTAGGTGTTATTGTTATCCCCAATGAGGCAGACAGAAGATGAAGTTTTCCTAGCTTCACACAGCTATTGTCTGAGGCTGGATTTGAACAAAGATCTTCTTTCCAGGACCAGTGCTCTGTACACTGCACTGCCTAATGACCTCCAAATCTATGAAACTTCAATATATTTTTGCTCTTCTCCACCCCCTCCCACCTCCACCCTCTACCTCTGCTTGATTAGGCATGGTTATTTAATAGATGGGTGAAAAAAAGGATTGAAAATACTATTGTAGGGGGCAGCTAGATGGTTCAGGGAATAGAGTACTGGCCCAGGAGTTAGGAAGACCTGAATTCAAATCCAGCCTCACGCACTTACTAGC